ACTTTCAATTTGACTCGAAACTAGTGACGCCGTTACATATCTCGTCACAGGTGATTGTAACTAGTGACGTGAAATAACGCTCACGTCTATATACAATTGCCGGGTGCCATATTATCCTTGTAGACCTATACCATATCGGTAATCGGCATTCAGCATCAGCATCAGTCAGCTGTCATTATGTCATTTTTATCTCCTAATCTAATGTCTAATAAAACTGTAATTAAAACAATAAATAAAGAGCTTATCAAGTGAACATAACACAAAACAGCAACAACCCATCTATTTCCTTAATTCTAAAAAAAATTAAGATATCTGGCTTTTCAAAAAGGGAAAACGCTAACTTGCAAATCTATAGTGCAATTTGCGAAATCTGTATCACAATTTTAAAATGTGCGAATCATTAGGTAAGTACTGATGAATAAGTAGCTGCAAGTTACTTTATTACTTAAATTTACCTTCCCCTATAAATAAATTTTTACCTAAAATGGCTATTGATTTAGGAGTTGGCATAGTAGACTTTCATGGCTCAGTCAATTATTTTTAATAGTAACTCGATGTAAGTGATACAACAAAAAATGCCTTATTTTTTAAATTACATTGTCTATTTTATTTGACAAAGTTAATTTTTTTTCCTCCTTTTTTCTAGAGGATTTGCAAAAACCATACAAAATATGCAGAGTAGATAATTGTGGATTTAGAATAAAGGCAAAAGTTTATGGATTTGGTCCTAAATATGCCGTATTTCATCTGCTTGCTAAAGCATGCCCACATACTGAAGTTTACAAGGTATTTTTTTTTATTATAATGAAACTTAGAAAATACTCAATATTTTAAGTGGGACTTTTGTTCTTAGGATCATGTTTGTATAAACAATAATCATTTGGCTTCCAGATTTCTTTGGGAAGGTTATTGAAAATAGAAACTCCTGGTAGTGATCCCATTGTTCAGGATTTTTATGAAATAGATTGGTCGATTATGAATGAATTCATTATATCATGGTATGGCAGTCTTATACGTGTTGGTGTCTTAAGCAAACAAAATGTTTTTGAGTTCCGTCAGGAAAGAAAAATCACTTCAACTGTTATCGGGTTTGCCAAGTTAACAACAATGACTGAAAATGATCAATCTGAACTTCGCTTGAGCGACTGGATATTTGAAAGTAATTTGATTTTTATTATTTAAATGTATAATTAATTCAATGTTGAATATTGAAAAAGAAAAATCATATTTATAAACATGATGTATTTGCATGAATGAAAAACCAATTTTTTTTTGTCCACCTGTCAAGAGTTTGTTCTGTTTGTCTGCATTTAGTGAGCTGATTTTAACGGGAGGAGCAAATGAGATTATAGGCAACTTTTTTTAAATCCTGAGCTGAAGAAGCTGAGCTGTTAGTTTATTATAATTGTAAAAGTTTAGATGGATGGATGTATAGATGTTTGTTAGAATTGTTCTGATTGGCTTAATGGATCTCTATGAAATTTGGCACAGATGTAGGTCATAGTCTGGAAGAACACATAGGCTACTAATTAATTATTTAATAATTCAGACCTGGCGAAGTTGCGTACTAAAGTATAATAAGCAAATCTGTAATTATAAAACAATTTAAGGTCAACCGGCGATAGCGAAAGTACCAAGATGTCTCACGATAAATGGTGGCAAACTGCGCTGGAGGTCTTTGAATGGTGATAGGCTGCCTGCTAATGCTGTGATAGGAGGGTTTCATAACGAGCTCATTTATGTAGCTCGGGCAAAACATGGAGGATCCCTTTGTCCTGGAAAATATATACATTCTGAACGTTGCACTTTTATTGCATGGGGATACAATGAACACCGAAAGGATAACTTTGAGGTAATTATTTATTATTAGCAAAATATATAGTATTGTGTAAAGCTTCACTTTCATTAGTACTAAAAAAATTAAAATTTATACCCATAGTGTAGAAAATTAAGTTCACTCCATTTTCTATACTATATGAGGACAGATTTGTGTCAATACTTGGCGTGCGGGGGATACTTGCGCTGAATTACATGTGTAGCGGGTGTGGTTTTAGTAAATCGCGGGGAATTTCGTTCACCCGATATATCGCAGTGAATCAAATACGTAAAAAAACATTCCCCGCATGCCAAGTGTTAATAATTAACTTGAAAACTACTGGACCAATTTCATATACTATAAGAAATCTTAAATAGAATAACAATAGCCATTTTTTACTGGATTTCATTTTAAATTTCAATCAAAGTCGCGGGCAGTAGCTGTCTGATAGGAATATTTGTTATGTTAATATTTTCTTTTTTTTCCAGATTCTATGTGGTATAAATTTTAAATGGGTCAAATGTGAAGGAAGAAATATACCTGAGAATGCAATTATTGGAGGTATGTCAGAAGTAAATAATGATCCACTGTATATAGGCCGTGCTAAGTTTGGCAGCGATGTTATATGCGGCAAAGTACATGTGTTATATGGTACTTGTTATGTACCGTACAATGGCAACGAACTTGAATACCATTCCTACGAAATATTAGTAACGCCAGATACTCCTCCACGAAGGATACAAGACTCACATTGTTTTTGTGTTAACCGTTAATGTAATACGCTTGTAAATTATTTATTTATTTTAATTATAATTTGTTAAGGTTAATTTATTTTTTACATGGGGTACATTTTTTTTTTAATCTTCGATAACCCTAACCAGTAGATAGCCCTATGTAAGTTAAGAATATCTTTTTGAATTCAACTACAAGCATTTAGATTAAATGATACACAAAATAAATACATTTTAAATGTTTTAATTTATAAATAATTTATTAAAAAATATAACATATAATCGCTAGGTCAAAAATAGTTATTATGCAGTGCAGCAAAATAATATAATTATAGGCACAATGTGAATCATCTACATTCGACCGAGAAGTTTCTGCGCATAAAGGTTTCTGATGATTTCTGTAAATATCACCATTTTCTTTTGGTTTCACTATTCATTTAAGCCATGAGGATTTCATAGTCAGGGAACCCTAGCTCTTGTCCACCGAAGGGGATGTAGCAGACTCCGTGCGAAGGTTGTACTTTGCCGGTGGTGACGCTGCCTTCGTGACGTACACGGCCGATGAAAAGGGGCTCCCCGTCTTCGGACTCGCCACCGGGGAACGCCCCCGGAGGAATGTTTGATCCACTCACAGGAACCCAGTTGTTAGGACCACCCACAAGGACCTGAAATGCAAAATAGATGTAAATATATGTAATATGTGCGGTTCTTGTACGGATTCTTCCACATGTAATTATAAAAACTTTATTTTATTGTCTACATTTGTGAAATTTTTACGTGCAAATGTCAAAATTCGAATTCACAGATGACAACGAACGTCTTTTACATTAGTTAAGAATTACCATTACCATGGCAACTTTTGCTTCCTTGATATTGTCAGTGTTGTAGTTTTGTCCCTTTCCTGCATGACGGTTTTTTCCAAATTATATACTCCCTAACTTTAATAGCGTGAAAACATAGCCAAAAACGTGTAAGTGTAGGGCTATTTAATATAAAAGTAATTATTCAAAAACATACTCTGTTTGCTGTGTAGTACATACCTACATAACTAAATAGTATGTGTTCACGCTTCATTATATTAGTATAGAAGAATAGATAGATACAAAATTCACTTTTAAAAAATACAATTTAATGTCATTCATTATATGGCCCATACACTTTCTATGTTCCGTTCGATGCCAAAAGTCCACTATTAGAGTGACTCATCATAGCGGTTAAAATAAAATTTTAAAATATTACTTATGCGTGTTATTAAATCCTACCTGATATTCCCCTTTGCCGTGTTCCTGACCGCCCCATGGGACGTATGCGCAGCCGTGAGAGGCGACCAGTTTGCCGGGCAGCATGGCGCCTTCGTGCTGTGCGCGCACCACATACAGCGGCTCTCCGGAGCAGTCCTGTCCCCCGACTACGGCGCCCGGCACCAGCTGCCCGCTCACCGCGTCCATCCACACGCCCGCACCAGACGGTGCCACTGCCGGCGCCGCGCCCGGGTAACCCGCCGGCGGACTGTATAACGCCGCTGCGGTAGGCGCTGAAGGCGCCACTATAATAAAAGGCATGTTATAACAAAACGTTGATATTCAATCATAAAAAAAATTAAAAGCAAATAAAAATAAAACTTATATTATATTTGTTAGACTTGTTTTATACATGTGCATGCACAACGCAGTAAAGGTATCTTAAAAGATTAAATATATCATGATTAATTATTACAAATGCATTTATCGTCTATACTTGCTACATATGTATGCATGCGAAAATATTAAAATTGACGAGAAAGAAGAAACAGAAAAGGAAGAAGCCGATTTACTCAAAATGTACCCAACATACCACTAAATTCATTCAATATCTGGATGCAATTGCCGAGGACTAGTTAAACACAAACGAAAATACGGAATCTATACATTAATCATGTAATATACTAATTGTTAGAGCCATACTGAATTTATGCGAATATATTCAATGACACAAAATATATAAACAGCAATTAACATCGGAAGCAAAATCTCTAAATATTGTTTCGACACTCAACGAGGCTGAGCTCCGCCGCTGTAGAAATGCCTGATGCGCCAGTTGCCGTGCGCGCCGTAGCCCGACCGCACCCCGAAGTGCGTCACCGGGAACGGTGTAGGATCCACCCACTCCATCATCACCGCACCGGTAGACCCGTCGCGAACTATCAACCTTCCGCACCTCCATTCGATCAGGAATTTCTTAAACTCGTTAGGGTTCATGAGACTGGGTGTCGGAACTGTTACCTACGGACCGTTGCAATGCCTTACATTCTGTGATCGATTTACTATTAATATTTGATTACGACACTTAATCTTGTACGCTACCTTATCAGGCTTCTGCCTGCAATGTCTGATAACGGACTGGGTGTTCTCCCAGCCACCGAGGATAAACTCGTACATAGGATCCATCTCGCCGGGGCCCGGCGACAGACATACGTGGCAGTTATGGGGGCCGCGATACTCAAATTCCAGAGAGCCGGCCGCTACGGGTCCGAACTTATATTCTAACTTGTCCGGAGTGTTGAATTCTTCCGCCTCTGCATCGATAATCTGGTATTTAGTTATCGGTGTTGGGTACACTTTGATAGTAGTCGCGTTGTTGTCACTTACCTTCTATTTTCCACGTGCCAGTAGCGCCCCAACCAGTGCAGACGCCGACGAAGCCTACGGGGAAGGGCTCGGGGTCGGACCAGGAGATAAAGGGAATGCTTTCACCCTCGCGACCGGCCGACACCACACCACCGTCCCAACGCACCCAAAAACCGCGAAACTCGCCGCCGTTTACAATACCAGGTGTTTCTATTTCTACCTTGTCTGGCTTTGCTTTATTCTTCCTGATCACACTCTTTGTGTTACCCCAGCCGCCGATCATAATCTAGAAATTAAATGAAATAAACTTCAGTAAGAGCTGTTTTCCCTAATACCATAGTTAAAGAGTTCATTTTTGTTTGTGTCTTTAATAACCTCGTATATCGGCTCGGAGTCCTGGGGCCCCATGGTGAGAGCGACGTGGGCGTCATTGGGTGTTCGCACTTTGAACTGAACAACTCCGCTCGACACTGGGAAAAACTGGTACTGGAGGTTGTCTGGGGTAGACACATCTGTAAAAATTAGATGCCATATTTATAGAAAGCTTAAGACAAGCGAGTTTCTTATTAATTATCTGATCTATAAATTCACAACATGCTCGAGCAATTCTAAATATAGGCGTGCCGTTGTTTGCGGGCAAGTGGTCGCAATTCACTCCCACAGCTTTGGTATCGTTACTTTAATATTCCTGCCGCATTAGAAAGTTCAATGCACCTAACTGTGATGTCAAATATTTTACATTTCTTTGGAGACTAAAGGTTTTGCGTAAACAGAAATAATGAAAGACTGATCTGTATAAGCTCGAAGAATTGAAAATAAAATTATTTTTGCATTCGTTAAGTACTTAAAAGCTATCTCGAGGCCAGGATTTCTTTTTCGCAAATAATCGCGAATATTAAATTGTCTTTTTGACCTTAGACTATTAAAGAAACCGCACCACAAATGGGAAAATAAGGTAATTTCCAAATAATGTATTCATTTGTTTTAACACTAAAAATATGGACCGAAGACGACATAATATCTTCTAGTATTGAGAATAAATGATACCTAAATGTAGTAGATCTGTTGAAGATATATTATCATTGACAATAACTACTTCCTAACACGTTTCTTTGTTTATTTTCGAGTAGACTATGATGTCATTCGATTGAATCGATGTTGCCCGACCTTCAGGCGCCCATGTTACTGCGACGAGAAATTGGGGCAAAACTTGCGCAGTAACACTGATCAATACACTAACTGAATTATATAATCAGCTGTTAGCTACTAACATTTTTGTTTTATTAGCTTTCCCCCGCAACTCAGTTCGCGTGGAATTAAAAAAAAAGTGAGACTATATGTTCTTCCAGACTATCCTCTACATCTATGACAAATTTCATCGAGATCCGTTCAGCAGTTTAGGTTATAAATTCTAACAAACATCCATCCATCTAAACTCTCGCATTTATAAAATTGATAAAATTACATAACTTTTTAATAGTGTTCTATTTTTTATTTTATTAGCTGTTGCCCGTGACTTCGTCCGCGTGGTATAAAAATCTAATTTGTAGCCTATGTATTCTTCCAGACTATGTCCTATATCTGCGACAAATTTCAGCGATGTCCGTTTAGCCGTTCTGGAGATACTGAGTAACAAACATACATTTAAACTTTTTCATGTATAAAGTAAAAAGTAACATTAGTCTTTGTGTATCTAAATTATTACAATGTTGTGTCATGTCTGTGCCGAATTATTCACAGCATTGCGTGAAAAAATACTTGTTTTTTGCAAACTATAAGTTTAGTATACTACGTACCTATAATTTTCTAATACTTTATTTCGTTAAAATAATAAAATAAATACATCGATCTTTGTAAATGATACTATCTTACTAATATTATAATTGCGAAAGTTTAGATAGATGGATGTTTGTTAGAATTTGTAGCCTAGACTGCTGAACGGATCACGATGAAATTTGGTATAGATGTAATGTAGAGGATAGTCTGGAATACATAGACTACTTACTTTTTTTTTCTTAAATTACGCAGACGGAGTCGCGGACAAAAGGTAGTTATACAAATAAGACGAATCTTGTAACCTTGATTTTGTCGATACGTGATTATAAAAAATCTGTAAGTACAGTGTTACTACATTATTTATCTTAGCACGTTCAAGAACATGAAATAAGATTCGAATGAGTCACAGCTCCCACGCTGGCAATTTATATTACACGTAACGCTAACTATCGTAACAGTTCTTAACGTTTATCGTTTTTCATACGCAATGATTACTCGCTACTTATAAATCTAAAGGCTAAAGTATGGTATTAAAAAAAATTAACTGAATTTATAGGTTTATATTTCCATTTTCTTACATATCTGGAAATCTACATGTTACTCGTGATTACGTTTTCATAAGTGCTCAACTCGTTGCTATCGATTTAGCATAGGTCAGAGGTTGACCTATGTCCAAGCCCTTAATTCAGTAGTACTTAATGGTTATTAAATGTGATTTACAAAAAATCTTACTCCAGTTCAGTTCTGTAAGAAATGTGGCGATTTCATGCAAATGTTTACTCAGAGTTACGTCAAGGCCATTTGAAAATTGAATAACGCGACAAATATAAATTTTTTACAGAAAAAAATGATGCAAGTGCCGCAAGAATTCGAAACTTTATAAAAAGCTAATACTTTTTTTAATACACGACTATTTTAAAATATCGCATGTCTCAAAGAATTCATTAACCTTTATTATATTTTTTTTATGGCTAATAAGAGATTTTTTTCTCGATTCGTCCAATACGAATGTGTGCCCAACAACATGCAAGTCTAAAGTCATTTCTTACTCGACTTAATTCACTTTAGTAGGATCAATCGTCCGATTCGATAAGTAAGATTGTCATCTGGTATTCATTCGTTGTATTTGAATAAGTACAATACAGTCATTCATAAATCATACTAAATCTACATTATTATATTTTCTAGTAGCATGCGCTGTTACTTAACGTTATCAATGTAATAACAGGCGCCTATATTATAACTATTTGTTTATAGCATATTCTTTGCAATCTGATGATTAATCGCATTATTAACCAAGTGTTGCCAATTATTTGTTCTTTTTCCCCCCAAAAACATTAACGTCAAGTCTTGTCGAGCAAGACAGAATTAATCAATTAACATTCTAATCAGAAAACATAATACCGTATACAAGACTTGCGTTATAAGGTGAATCGAAGGACAACAGGTGACTCCACAATAGCAGACAGGATTAAATAATCGTTAACTAACCTATAATGTTGCCTATGACCTTGCTTATTGTCACACAATAAAAACGACCAATAGAAATCTCCGCTTGACCAGGATGAACTCATTGCTAAGAATACAAATTACACTTAGGTTTAATTTACAAGCACAAACAATAAGTATGATAACGTTTTATTATAAAAATATCGGTCGAAAATTTAAGATCTTAATGTAATCGCACCGCTTCGAAAAGTTTTTAGTGGATTCTTCGACAAAAGCAGTTTAGTTTTTGCCACACCCGGCTTTAGATTCGGTCCAGAAAAACGCCGGCTGGTTTATTTACCTCAACATCAACGAATTATATTAGAAAAATTGCAAAAGTTAATTGAAATTGGTCCAAGACTTTAGAAGCGTTAAAATATTTGTTAAAAATCTATCGCAGTCGCAGTTAACTTTTATAAGAATAACAAGAGTTTACTTACCCATGACGTTAGCCATGTTTGAAATTTTTTTTGAAACTTTTCACTGTTTGCAAAAATAAAACCGTCCGCTTTCGTCTGCGATATTTGAAAACTGAGCTCGTGTGAGACCGCATTCCGCGGCCTCGGGCCTCGGGTCGCGTCGAGTCGAGCAACGCAACGCAGAGATGATGTCATACCGGCTGCAAAAAGGTACGGCATATTCGGTTAGTTTTGAATCAAAATGTAATAATTTCTATTCTTCTAATACAGAAATAGTACTAGTACTAGTACCTTTAAATATAGAGACATGTTAATGGTATTATTCCCCATACCAAGCAAAATGCCGTGTATTTTGAAGCGTAACGAAGCGACTATAGCAGGTAGGTACGATACCTATATAAACTTGCTTTGGCCTTCACGTTTGATGAGTACGTAAAGGCCAGGTAAACAACAAAATTATGTTTATGTTTTCTAGATAAGTATATTGGCGAATTCTTCGTTTGTGTAAACAACAGAAATATCTAGATATGTAATGACTTTATGAATGCAGCCAATTTATAGGAATAAGTAGTTAGTTACCTAACTACTCTTGAATGAAAATCCTTGAAATCTTGCTAGTGTTTCCTATTTTTCCTACGAAAAAAAAAGTTATACTACCTAAGTGGCGTTGTTAGCAAGCAGAGAAGATAAGCCAGAAAAGTGCCTATTCACATTTTCCAATTCCACCTTTTCCAGAACTAGTATTAGGATAGGTTGAGGTGGGGTGCCCTGGGCGTCGAACATAGAGGGCACTTGTTGGGGTTCTACGTATTTTCCTATGGGTTTGCATGGAAATTAGAGGCGCAGTAGAAATGTCGCCCGTAGCGCTACTAATGAAAAAACTGGCCCTGATCCTTTCTTTATCAATATTGTTTAAATAAACATTGTTATAAATAAATACAATGTTGTACATTATTACTAATTAATTACACAGCCACATAATCGTGATATCTTTCCTTCAAATTAAAATATTTGTATTCACTGAACAACTGAACTGATACGAACGTTCAGAGATTAAGGTAACTTCTATATTCTATATAAGGTAACGTGGGTTACATGAATCAAACACAGGTTTACTTTATAACTATATATTGCGTGTTGTTTATGAATCACAAAATGCAAGAAATACAATGAGATGGGAGTTAGGTACTAGTGTTAATGATGACTATATACGTACATATGCTCCTCTGGTGTTGCGGATGTCCATGGGCGTCGCTGACCACTTCGGTGTTCTCGCCGCTCGTTTGCCCCCCTTTATTATAAAAAAAAACATAATACATAATTAAACTCATATTCAAACATTAAGATTTACGTTATAGAAAGTAATTTCAAGTAAAACAAATGAGTCACATCAATTTGTTTGTAGTGAACTATAACGAACAAGGTTGTAATTAATGATGACGCCATCACATTACATTTTATAGCGTAGGACTACAGTCACAACTTTGATCACTGTTTATTTTAAGCTATGATTTAATACGTCATAGGTCATAGGTATCTTTGTATGATAATACTCCGACAATATTTTTTTTAACTTACGCGACTTTTCAGATTATGGTTAATTAAAATAATTATTTGTAATTGCCTAATTGCTATGAATCAACGCTATTAATAGTCATCATACTCGAATAATCTTATTATCTTCTCTACCAATTATCAACTTTTTCGGTAAGAAATTAAATTAATTGTTTATTTTAAAGTAAAAGCAAACTTAAACAGAACTATAAATGGAATTTTTATTACAACTAATGTCATCTAGCGAGTATCGGTATGACTTTTTAACCATTAGCACCTTGACGTATGTTTGCATTTTTAACAGTGCCATCTAACGAGTAGTAACATTAATCTTTAAAACGGGAAAAAAGTATGTAAACTGTACGATAGATGGCAGTGATATATTTAAAAGCATATTAATCTGACTAAAGATAATTTACCAGCAGTAAAAAAGATGGCGCCTAATTTCTTAAGTACATCTGTAAAATGAAATAATACCAAACTAAAGTAATAGTCCAAATTTGGGAATTGAATATATGGAAAGGTGATTTTGTATTTAATAAATACCATTTCAAACCGAATGCGACATAAATATTGTTCGTAAATGTCAAAGAGTAGAGTAAACGAGCAACACTTTTTTCCGTCCAGGAACTTCCGCAGGCGTCCCTCTATTTTCATTATAATTATAATCCGTTTATTTGCTTAGAAGACAACTTATAAAGAAAAAACATCAAAAACTGCACTCCTTAGAAATAAATAATTAGACGTATTCCTAAGATGGTTATAATTAACGATACCTAAATTGGTGGCGGTAGGATCTAAGAGTGTGTGTAGGCAAAGTGTGCATTCGATTCCTGAAATGACAAACTACGATACCATAAAAACTAAATTTACATATGTTAACAAAAACAATTTGTATATGCGTATTTACATCGTAAAGGGATGTCACGCGTGACGCAAATTTTTAGATGATTTCCATTATTAAAAAAAAAAAGCTCTTTGAAATCTACCATCTGCTGGGTCGAAAGCTAGGGCTAGAGCAGCTGCCGCCGCACGCGCGCCTTCACAATAGAAGCGATCAATGAACTCATAACCCCCACCCTAAAACTACCACCGCACTGATTTTGTAAAAATTAACTCTATTTCTTTTTCTTTACGTTTCATTTTTGTGTAACTTCAACTCGAACCCTTAGAGGTGCACTTTTTGTTTAGGTGTCTGTTATATTGTGAAGTAAACTCAAATGTATAGTAAACTTTTTCGACAATTGATTTTGGAACAGCTGATTTTTTTCTAGACGGTGTAAAAATTGGATCAGAAATGGAATGGACCACATTTTGTTTCTTCAAAGAAAAGTGCACAGATTGCCGATCTGTGGACAGAGAATTTATACCATGACAACAACTGTTCAATATCTTTTTGATTCGAAATTTAAAATGGTCTATTCCGATATTCAGAATAAGAGCGTGCACACCTGAAACTAAACTATCGCACAACTGTTTAGTCTAGCTTTGATTCCTATGAGCTTATATGGAGGAGGAGGAGGAGGATTTTTAGTTATGTAAATAACATTGGCTACGAATCAATCGATAATCGCACAACAGTTGTGCGATAACTTAGTAGAAGATGTGTGCCGTTCTAAATGTGAATTGTGAATAAAAATAATATACAGACGAATTATACCTCCTTCGTCAAGTCGGTGAAAAACAAACTGAAAAGCGAATCAGTTGATGTTATAACAATTGCTTGATTTAAAAAGATTTGGGGGTGTTAATTGTACGGACAACAGGAGTTCCTCATCTAAGCACACTCAGATATTATCAACTAGCTGTGGCTCACGACTTCGTCCGCGTGGACTTAAAAGTAGAAAATAACATAGAGTATGTTACTCAGTGATAAGCTTTTATGCAGTGAAAGTATTTTTAAATCAGGCCAGTAGTTTTTGAATTATTCCAACACATACAAACATCTAAATCTTTCCTCTTTATAATGGTACAGATTACGTTTATAGCTATTTAATATAGAAGAGCGAGTGTCGGGAGATGTGTGAACATTGAACTTCCTAAGATGGTTAGGTAATGCACCAGTTTAGCAGTGATAGTATCAACAATGAGTGGCAGAACTACTCGGAGGAAGCGCTATCGACATATTCAGCAAGAACAATGTAGTTCCCACGTCGGCGCTCGCCGCGACAGCCCGGCTTCCTGCCGGCGAGCCCAGCTCCGGCTTACTTTCAGTTTTTTGTACATCAAAGCAATTGTTATATGAAACAGCACAGATTCGTAACTTCCTTTAGCTTTATCTCCGTTTAAGTAGTCAGTGCAATACTTTAATATAATGACAATCGTTATATCGTTCTATTTTATTAACGTCGTCGTAATTTTCAGCATATCAATGAATATTATCTTACGCGGACAAGATTTAACCTTTTTGAATGGGTCGGCGAAGAATGCTGGCGTTAAAAAACATAACAATGCTGTGACCGTTTGTAAATGATTAAGTTAGGACTCAATTTACCTCATATCTTGATCATGGCATGATTTTGTTAGAGTTCTGTTGTTTTGTTGGCGAAGTTTCAAGGATAAAATAACTTTAAAGCATATGTTAATTAAAAAGTAGATATTTTAAGTACTACAACTACAGTTGGGTTTGAATTTCCAGCGTGTTATTAAAGTTTTTATTTTTCATACCAATAATACTGTGAAATTCAGGAGGTGATGAGAAAACAAAATAAATAAGAAATCAATCCACTCCAACTGCAGAATTAATTACGATCTAATAGTATGTATGACGTTAGCTGTTACGTGAATTGCTAAAGAACAGTAATATTAAGAGCCTTTCCAGTAACTACTTGTCCCAGTCAGTGCTACTAATGTAGCAGGACTCCGGCGTGGTAATCTTGGATTGTCTTGCGCAAGTAAACACCAATGCCCCCGGGTTTTAATGAGTTAACCTTTAATTGATTGAATGTTTCAATTATAAATGCAGTCGGAAGTTGTTGCTCAGTCGATGCGCATTGAAAGTTTTTTTCTGGGACGACTTTACGTGAAGATAATTGAAGCGCCGAGAATAGTTTCAGTTGAAATAGGGTGAAAGAACGAGGCTTATCTTATTTCAAAGTAATTCGTCGTATTTCATACACTGCAGAGGCTTTTGTTTTTATCATCCTACTAGTACCTATAGTGATTTTCGATCGATTTGATCGTATCCCATTGTAAATCAAAACATAATTTTGTTCACTACTTAAACACAGCGAAATGTGCAAAAGTTAAGGGTGATGTTAATAGTAAGCGAGAAAGCCTTACGTCCTCAGTTCTTCAATTTAACAGCGAACAAGCGACGGTGGCGGTGATAACGAGGCGTATCATTACGCAAGTATCGGAGACGGAGGGTAGCAGGCGGCAGGCGGCGGCGGGGGCGGGCGGCGGGCGGCGGGCGGTCGCGCGGGCATCTGGCGGACGGCGCGGGGGGCGGCCGAGGGGTGCGGCGCGTGAGGAGCGGGGTACGGGGGCTAAAATTAGTACCCGTGCGCCACGTGCGCTCCCGACCGACACTAGCATCACATCAGTAGGCGCGCGACCATCGCAACGAACGCTCGTCACATCGCACAAAGCGTTCACGCAAACAAAATATTATCGTATATTGATCCGCTCCCGCGGCGCAGCGATCAGCGTGACAGTGTTGCAGTGCAAGGCCGGCGCAACGGAGGCGGTGCAAGGCATGCTGATGGCGGGCGCTCTGCCGGCCGAGCCCGAGGGGCTGCTGGCGTTAGGCGCGCTGCCCGGACAAAAGGACACCACATGGACGAAGCTGTTCGTCGGCGGTCTGCCCTACCACACCACCGACAAGAGTCTGCGGGAACATTTCGCGGTGTACGGGGACATCGAGGAGGCGGTCGTCATCACAGACAGGCAGACGAGTAAAAGCAGAGGATATGGATTCGTGAGATATATTTTTTATTTTTCTGTAACATAGTATGGTTGTGGAGTAGAATATAGGACTTTCTTAAACATGAAATGGACACGTAATGCCCGTGCGCATTCGCGTCGTGTTGGCGCTGAAACAGTCGCACTATCGCACCTTATCGCACCTCGCCGCCACCGCTACCTACAGTCAGTGTAAGCACCAAGTTGAGCACACGTTTGTGCCGTGTGTGTACACACAAGTCATATCGCGACATTACATCGACATGGAAGTTGAGACCGATCGACAAGGGACTGCTTGCCAAACTTTACTCGAGAACTGAATGAGTTTGGAAACTACATATTACTGTAAAAACATTGTAAACAATTACATTTGTAACAATTTCTATTTTGAATTAGCTGCTTTCTTGATTGAAAATTTTCATTGTTAATACGGTGTGTTGTTTATTAGTTATCAATCCAATTATTGGTCGTCATGCAGCACAGTGTTAAGAATGAATTACCGCTGAAGCGGAGAGATTATGAGTGTAATCGTATGGCTGCAACCTTCGCGGGGATTTCACGTTTACACTAAATCCGCACATTCGCTGAGCAATGCCTTACCTTAAAATGAATTAATATTAGTTTCTGTAATGTAATAAAGTTTGAGGCTTTTGTGTACTGCGCGGGGTTCGTGGGAAATGAATCACAACCCCATTTTCAATTCAGTTGGGGTAGGGTCCGTCTGGGGGAGGGTACATGTCCCATTGCACCCTCCTGTCACATCCAAATAGCTATTATAATCGTAGTGCATCGTCTATGGCCCGGAATATTGTGCAATAAATGCACCAATGGATGCCAATTTTTTATTTTAATTATTTTTTACTCGTGGCGTACCGATAGTACACTGGTACGTGGGTCGTGCTGAAGGACTTGTTATAGACAATAGGACGTCATCCGATACAGTACGGGCGCGAACATAATAGACCCTTCTAATACCAACCACTACGTCTACGTCCGTTGTGTAAAATGCATGAGTCTATGCATTCAACATTTTACAAGGTCTTTAGAAAATTTTCATATTTCAGAGCCTGAGAAAAGTTCAAAATATTTGTTCTTTATTACGAATATAAAAATCGTCACTATCAGACAGAAATTGTCTAACTATAATAAACGTGAATCTTTATGTACTTGCATATTAATATTCAATAAAGTCTGAAGATGTTAAATCATATAAAATATTTATTGCTGCACAGAGACGTTAATTCGTCACTAAGGGTCCTTTAGAATTCACAGACTGAAAACGTTAAGTGAGACGTAAGCGCTCTGAAGACGGCAACTAAAACAGTTAGGAAAGCTTATTATTAGATTAATTATTATCTTAAATTCGTGGGCAAATATTAGGTATGTGTCGAGGCGTGGCAACTTGTGCAAGTAACAGTTGGGCGTCACAGCGCCGAGACCGCCTCCGCTACGAGCTACGCCGTAGATAGCAAACGAGATAAATTCATTCACAGATCATTTGTAAACAATATTTATCTAACAAACTTCTACGTTATGTAATATTAAACTAAATTAAATGGGGTTTTATTTCAATTTATTATACCTAATTGGAGAAGGCAGGTTTTTTTCTTAAATCTTTAATTACATCTTTCAGAGAAAGGTCTACTTGTATTGGACGGTTTTTCGATTATGTTTTTTCTTATTTATCGATTATTTAAATAACAAGAGAACATCTTAATGTGTCTCCTTTGTTTATGTATTAACAAATACAGTGTGTTTAAATTTAAATTTACTACTAAATTAAGCATTTAGGAACAGCAATTAGGAACTTTTCCAGGTCTTTGACCATGCAGGAATGTAGCTAGAAGTTAACACCTAAATTTTTCGTTAGTTATCGTCGTATAAAACAAGAATGGCGGAACGCAGTTTTAGTATGTTAACAGCAATTTAATAGTCGTCTACGTAGCTCAACTAACATCGTATGGAATTGTTACTCTTGATATATCACCAACTGTGCATACAACACTAAAATATCGAAATGTAATTTTGTAATTGAAAAGGGGGTTTATTTTACCAAACTGTTTATCAAATTCTGAAAAAATGGAGAGAAAATGCAAGTATGTTTCTGTTCATCAAGAGAGTATTGTAAGAAAAATAATTTAACGTTTAAAAAATATAGACAAGAACTGATTTTACAGTGGTAGAGCCAGTTTTAACATCTTCGTACGAATGGGCCGGCTCGTCCGGTGTAATACCACGACCACGCAGAAAACAGGCATGAAGTGGAAGCAATTCCGCGTTTCGTCTGATGAGTGGTGCTGGAGGCCTAATATTAGCCCCTTTCCCTTTCCACCCTTATCTTAAGAGGAAAGGAATAGTGGATTTGACGGTGGAGGAGACGCATAGGATGGGGAAATGTCCTCTTTATAAGCGTCTTCTCCGTCAATTAAGGGTAGGCAACGCATCTGCAATTGCGGATGTTTATGGGCAGCGGTCGCTTTCCATTTCTGTGGATTCAGGTGGCCGCTTGCTCGTTTGCCACCTTATGGTTTAAAAAAAAACTGATGCGTGACAATAATTGTACAGAGTGGTTCGATCATCTCGAAGTTTCCTATTTCAAAACTGTAATCTCTTGGTATCAAAAGCACTATAAATATCTATTTTATGTTGCACATTAAATTTGAATCAATTTCAGAATTCCCTTGAGTGCAATCGTAGTTATTAATATTCAGCTTTATGTTCTTACTTTGATCGTTACAATTGATTTAAATACTTCAAGCCTTTAGTTACGGAGGCGTAGCTAAATGCAGTGTTTCAAAATTATAGTCATTTCATGTTTCCAATAATGCATATTTTCTTTTCGTCATATGTAAATCATGTGTTATTTTAAGAAATAACTATAAATGTAATTAATAGGCAAACTTTAATATTGTGACTTAAAATACAATAAAATCAATGAAACGAATCATTTATCATGATTTTTTAATTAAATAGGTAAAGGGAGACATTCAAATTGCGATTTTATTTCATCTGTGTTAAGTTGATTTTTATTTTCAGAGTAGAATAAAAACAATTTTGTATGACTATCATTGTAACATTCATAGTGACAAAGTCATTATTAATAACGTAAGAAACGTCATTCTCGTTATTAAAAGTAGATTTCATAGCATCGAGTTGTGCCAAATTACGATTGTGTACACAGCTTTTCTGTACAAATGTAGAATTCGAAAGTGTTTATAGTAGAGGTTATAACTTCATGTTTTTATTACTGGATAAAATACATTCGTTATTGCTGCTATCGTAAACTGTTCCATTCATATGAACATGTTATGTGACGTGACGATGGGTACATAAATCTGAAAGTGTTAAGAATGAATGTGGATGGCTAGAAAGGAAGAGGAAGACGAGGTTTAGGCTAAGCGCCATCTGCGCTCGGCCACCTCAAGCCCGGTGAATCTGTAAATTCCTCTTCAAGGCAAACAGTGGCCATTCAGTCACAAAACACAAAAAAAAAAACACAAAACAAGAAAGTATGGATGGATTGTGTGAAAGAGGGTATGCTTAAGAAAGGAGTGGATTCAGATATGACGGCTGATAGAGTATGGAAGAGCAGCACATACTGTGCCGACCCTCCATAAGGGTTAAGGGCAAGTTGATGATGATATAAACTGTTTCATTCGGAATATATAATACTTGTATATTTATTTAGTCGGATCTGGATTACAATATACTTAATGTTTTAATTAAAGTACAGTCCAGTTAGTGTAGGTTAACACTACCAAACTGTAAACATGTGTTAATGAGAACATGTCTCTTATGTCTGTAAAAGCGTACCGTAAAATTGTAAACACGCACCAAAACTGCGTAGTAATGATGACGTAGTAGGGATTGCAAGCGTCTACAATACACCCTAAGCGTCGTAGTAATTACGCAGTGGTTTTCTGATTTGCCTAGATCCTTATGAAATAAACACTATAATATAATGTCTAGTCTATATTCCAGACTATGTTCTATATCTGTGTTAAATTTCATTGAAATTCGTTTAGCAGTTTAGACTATAAACTCTAACAAACATCCATGCATCTAAACTTTCGTATTTATAATGTCTATACTATTATAATAAAGCGTAAACACACACTTCTTTGTTGCCTAAGATGTCAGCATTTACAGCATATTTTTGAATAATTCTTTTTTTAATAAAAAGCCCTACACTTACGCCACGTTTTAGGCTACATATTTTCACGCCATTAAACTTAGGGGGTAAATATTTTGAATAAAAACCATAATGTGGGAAAGACACCATACGATACGAGCTGCCAACATCAAGAAGCAAGGTTGCCATAGTAAGGTAATTGGTATTTTAGACATTTGCAATTGAGAATTTGATAAATGTAAACAATGAAATAATGTTTTTATAATTCCATGCGGATGAAGCCGTACGGGAACAGCTAGTTAGTAATAAACAAGTTGTCTTTTAGTTGAGAATTACATCGAATATTAATCGAAATAGAAATAATTTATGTTTTACATCAAGGTCATATTTAATGTCATTGCATCAATGTTTATTATAGATATAAAAATACATATAGATTTATATGATATGTAAGTATTAATGAAATTTTTATTCGATCGATATAAATAATGAATAAAATTGCTATTAACTTCTTACTAATTATATGTTGATATAGTAATAATAGTAGTTACTTTAGATTTTGACACGCTATTGTTCGATTAATGTTTTAGACAATTCAAAGAATGTTATTTTTACATACTGTACATTTTAATTATTAGTGAAATGCAATTTACATATTTCATGTATTGATGTACATAATAATAGGTTTTCTTTTATTACTTTTTTATTGATTAAAAAAACACAATTTCTGTATATTTATTTCCACATACATGGTTTTACTTTGTTTCCAATCAATAGTACTAAATTTATAACTATACTTTATAATAAAATTCCCTTTTCTATTTTATCGAGAATTTCAATATTTCTCAGCGATAGTTCACGAAAGATGAATAGCGTGGCGTCGGTTCGCAGATCGTACCCCAACGACGGTTCGCAAAATGTAGTGTAGGCGAATTAAGCAATGACTAGGGGTGCGATTAGGGTTGCCACCTAGTTGCTTCATCTGAACTTATATTTCCAAGATGCATACTAGATCTACTGGTTTAACATCGATGTCCAATCAGTGTGATACGAAAGACTTCAATAGTCGTTTTTTTTTCGCTTATTAAAAAGAATATTCACTGGTAGTCTTTTTTCGCCACCAGCTCCGGTTTTATTCAACGTCAACAACCCTAAGTGCGAAGCGAGGGGCGGCGTTTGAAGGGCACAGGACAAGCATGGGGGTGAGATGCAAGTCGCAATTGCACTGCTATCGAACATCTTAAGAGACTTTGAATCTATGATAAAATATATGTACAATGCAGAGAAACTTCGTAACTACGTAATAATCGAGAAGATGCTTGAATATCTAGTGTCCAATAATGAAACGTCAAACTATGACCAATTTCAATTTTCAGTCAGTGTTGCAATATCCAAACTTACATTTTTGTACAGCCCTATAAATAACAAGCGTTTTCCAACGTATAAGGAAAGGGAAAGTCGTTAATGTAAAATAAACGCAACTAACCTACTAACAGGCCTTTCAGCCGATAGCGCGCTTATCACCACCCGTAACTAACTACGAGTGTGTACCGCTAACAATAACTGCAATCGACAGAATTTCATACACAAATCCATGCAAATCAATCAACCAAACATGTTTTTTTATCCATTTATTCACACTATTATTTAATGTTAACAATAATTAAAATTTGTTAATATATTTATTTTAATCTATTTTTAATGTCACTCATGCTTAAATAACTTGTTTGTAATATTAAAAACAATTAAGAAATTACTAAACCGGTATAACCGTTAATGTGTTACTGAATTCAAGTTTTTACACCGCTCAAATATTCGCTTAGAAATCTATGGTTTATGGATGTCAAATAATAGACGCAATGGAAATTATAATTTAGTACATAGTTTTTATTATCACAAAAGCAATGCATACCAAACTATAAAACTATCGGTAATTAAATTAGAATAGCGCGAAAAATATTTTATCTGACATTTTATGTAGAAAATGTTAAGAAGATAATTAGAATTGGCGCAACACTAGATTATTGGCATAAACGTCGCATCTCTAATTGACAGCTGTCAATGTCATAAGGAGGATTGATATTCGCGCGCGATCCTGAGTCCTGACGAGAAGTGTTGCTTTGAGTTTAAAACGATAGTATCAATTAAATAAATTGTTTAAAAAAAGTTATCTAACATTTTAGGAGTTTTAAATTTTTTTGTTTGTAATGGTATAAAACGTTTTATAAGACATATTCTGAAGTACATCATTTGCAATGTAAATTAATCGTGATATTGACAGCTTTGTTTTTAGTTGGCAATGCAAAGGCCAAGTTATGTTGGTCGAGGAGTATCGGGTGAGGTCGACCCGGCACGGCGGTGTGCGTGCATTACAATACCTAATGACTATCCAATGACATACGCATACGATCTTTTCGTATATAAAACGATTTTATATTGTACCGAATACCGACTTTACGCGGTATATATTAGCTGTTACGTCGTATCGAGCGGCTCGTTCGCTGGTTTCCCCGTAACACTACTTGCTGAATGCATAAATGCTCGCCGTATAACATGTTACATTACACCGCGTAACGTCGTTCATTACGAACCTATAAACGTATTTTTCGCTTGAAACGCTTGAAACAACTTATTATTAACTAGCAACATTTCCAGAAATTGCTATTACTTAAGAAACTGTGCTTGTTGCATTTCTGAATCCATTTATGTATCAGTATCCTTGTAAAAATGTGTATTATAATTTCAGGTAATAATGGGTGACCGTGCAGCGGCGGAGAGGGCCTGCAAAGATCCAAACCCCATCATAGACGGGAGGAAAGCCAACGTCAATCTCGCGATATTAGGCGCAAAACCTAGAGGGAATTTAGCACCAGGTTAGTGGAAATTTATTAATCATATTGTTTTAGTAATAGAATGTTCAAGAACTTGTTGACCGACTTCCGAAAAGAAGGAGGTACTCAATTCGTCTGTACATTTTTTGTTCTTATTGTCGAAGTTCTTTTTTTGCCCGTATGGCACGGTTATCGCGAGTGTGTAAATGCCCATTGTATTGTGTTTTCTTGTAACCTAACCTAAATGCCTTGAACGATATTGAAATGACGCGTCATTGGATTCTTTCCGGAATTGCGTAATAAACAGACGAATTTTTGTTAATAATTAAGAAGAATACAGAACAAATATCGTTGCAGAAATATGTTTTTCAATCCTATTTGAATATTTTAAGTATTTTTATGACCCCTTCAAAGACAGATCTTATAAGATATGTATTCATCGAAGAGTATACGCGTATACGCGTTATCAAGTCTCAGCTGTTTACGAAAGGATCAGCTTTGGGAACACATGATACTCGTTTTTTTATCCTTTTGTTCGTATCTGCTCTCCGTAGCGACAGCGTGTCGTCTGAACAGACAAAAAATCATACGTTCCCGTCGCGTGTGACCCGATAACTGTCTGGGGGGTCAACATATTCTTGTGTGCTTGTTTGTCTACAATCTAAGACGAATTATGACAATTCGATGTTACTAGGCTTATATGCTTTTTAGGTGTGAATGTATGTGTAAATTTAAATAGTTGATTTAAATATGTGAATATGTTAGCGGGTTAAGGCAGACGTTGAACTGCGTTGAATGCCTCAAATGTTTAAAACTTTAAAAAATAAATTTGTCACTGAATGGTTATTATTTGTTCTTTCTATATGCCTTGGGATCCGTGACACTAGTTTTATAAGAAGGGTAGAAATTATAATTAAGTTACTAAGTTTTAAACAACTTTAAAGATTTTCATAAACATTTTAATTTAAGTTTTTGTATTAAAAATGACTTCAATATCGATAAAAATAATTGATTAATTAAATTGGAAGTGTGCATCGGTTGCCAGTTGGGACTGATTAGACATATCATTCCCACTGATAAGTTTCATTTAGTTGTTATCTCAAGTATTTGATTAACACTATAGTTTTCATTTAGTGACAATGTAACATAAGTTATTTATTTTATGGACTGTATTTGTAATGCAATATACAAGCGTAATGTGATTTTTTAAAAAATCGGCAATCTATACTAACAATATAAAGAGGATAACTTTGTTCGATTGTAATGATTAGGCTCAAAAACTACTGAGCCTATTTTAAAAATTCTTTCACCGTTAGAAAGGCAATTTATCTGTGAGTAATATAGGCTATATTTTATTATTATTTTTTAATTTCACCCAGAGGAAGTCGCGGGCAACAGCTAGTTACAGTTAAAAGATTTTTATAAATAATACCTTTATACATTATAAATTAAAAATATTTAATTTATACACTACTTGGCAGTGAACGCATATCTATGTAATGTTAGACATCTTGCCAATGGTCTCGTCAATTTGTCCTAGAGATGTCGAAATGAGAAATATATCGACCTACGTCTAAAGATGCAACCTATTTTCAAGTACTAATTCCTTATTCCAGAATAATCTTTTCGGTTATATGTAGTCTCTTTACGGTTTTCAATTCATTCGATATTTCTTTTTTAAATAGTTTAAATAATTTAGTGGTATTATCGATAGCAAATAAAGGCCTGAATCTTATCACAAGGTAAACGAACCAAGTCTTAGGTAATATGTTGATTGATATAATTTTTCATATCTGCTTTATCAAATATCCAATAAAATATACTTACAATAGCTTGCGACTTCTTCCGCGTGGAATTAAAAAAAGTACTTAATTAATAGCCTATGTTGTTCCAGACTGGTCTACATATATGTCAAATTTCAATTAAATTTGTCCTGCTTTGCTTGAGATACTTTCAAACAAATATCAAAACTTTCATCCACTATCCATACATCAAAACTTTCGCAGTTTTTCCCTACATCTGTACCAAATTTCATCGAAATCCGTTCAGCCGTTTAGGCTACAAACTCTAACAAACATCCATCCGTCCATCCATCTAAACTTTCGCATTTATAATATTAGTAAGATTGAGATAGAAAGGATTGAGATCGGTAAGACTTATTTTATGTATATTCCGTTGAATATAGGAATGCAAGGATATTGAGGAAGGTTTATGTCCAACAGTGGACAGATAAAGGCTATTGAATGTATATTCTGTACGAAAAACCGCTTTTAAATAAAACTACTTCCTTTGCGAATATCAGAAAGATAGTAGGTTCAGTGTTTATGTAAAAAAAGTTATTTATGCGCGTTTATTATCTATATTATTTAGGCAAAATATAACTAAGATATGATTAGTCTTATATCTGTTTTTCGACGTTATATTTATATGATGAAATATGTGTACAAAAGCATTACAACGGCATGATGTAGAAATGGTGAGGACAAGTGTAAGTATGTGATTCACGCATGTTTTTGTTATAATAAAAAAAATCTATTCTTTTATGAAAAGAATCCAAGGCAACGCATGCTTTGATACAAAGGCGCAAATATTTTGTGACGTAATTGAGGTCATCATCATCGGAGAATTCCATAGCAAACTATTAAAGCAATTTTTATAAAAATTTAGTTTAATGGTCGGTTTCCTAGCTACGTTTAACCATTCGTTAGTGTTTTTGGTTCACTAATTTCAAGAAAATGCGTTTTTGAACTACGTTGAAACAAACGTCAAACTAACACTACTAAATCGCTAGGCTAACAAAATAAGTTGAAACTTCAGAAACTCAGCATAAATCAAACTAATGTGCAATAATCTCATAATGTTTTTGACAACTTAAGGCTTAGTTGATTTAATTTAGTTTATCTTACCTCTATCAGCTTTTCTTTTAAAAAGTTTAAGAGATCTTAAGAAGTATTCTATCTGCAATAGTAGTTTCTTTTTAAAAAGGGGAATAAACATTTTGAATGAGTTAACACCGTAATGAAAGAAATTGAATGAATTGTATAATTTACTCAACAATTTTAAACAACAGTAAACAATATAAAAACTAGTAAAACAACCCGATAAATCTAAACCGGGGAAACCGCACCGGTGACGTATTTCACACCGGCGTGATTAGGAACGGAACAAGCGGTCTCCCGCCCCGACCGGAAGTCCCTAAACGCTCGGAAACGGAAGTGCTCGGCGGAGGCTTGCTAATTGATTGCGCCCCCGCGGCACCGCGACACGCGCAACCCTTGTAACCGGCCCGTAACATGGTTTTGTTGTTTCAATCAAACAAACAATGTGCCAAAAGAATTAAATAACTCGTTTTGATTGTCGTAAATAGGTTACTAAGGCGTTGTCACTCACTGTAGACGTCTCTTATTAAGATCCTCTGTAAGGATCACTTAAAAACCGTGAGGACTCCATGTAATTGCAGGAAAGAAGCAGCAACTGCAGTTGGTTGTTTTCTGTAGGACATCTTTACTCTTCAGTAATCAAAGCCCTTTAAAATATATAGATAAGGCATAGTAAACAAGATTTTTTTCCGTTACTTTCTCTAAAAGGTGCTATATCACTATGTTCTTGCAGAATGATCGAGTAATCATTTTAAAACTAAATTAATGAATCCCACGGGAACTGTAACTATTCCCGGCATAAACAGTAGCCTATGTGTTTTTCCAAACCATGCTCTAAACCTGTGCCAAATTTCATGGAGATCCGTTAAGCCGTTTAGGCTACAGACGCTAACAAACATCCATCCATCGTAACTTTCGCATTTATAATATTTTATTTTATATTATATTACATGATAAACATTTAGATATATCATAATGATATCCTATCAATAGATCGTTAGTGATGATCATGTGAAAAATGTCTCAAGAGAAATATCGACTGTGACCTCTCTATATATTTTGAATGTCTGCCAGTAACAAAATGCAAAACGACTTATGTCGAGATGATTGTATGGGTAAGTCCGCGAGGTTATAACGTTTATAAACATGTAATCTAAATGACTTGAGACGGACCGGGAGTGATTGTCTTCGTCGTCTGCAGTGACATGCAGTATAACTTCCGTATATACATTCGCTGTTACCTTCGATAACTGTAATCATTGTCATACGTACAGTAACAAAATTAGCTATAAATATTATTATTCCTTAATACTGTTTTAAATAATCTTATTATCCTTGATGTCTTTTTTAAATAACTCAACTTCTACTTTTACACAAAACAGATTTTACTTCTATGAAAAATAAAATGGTTGAAAACCCTTGTTAGTTTCTTATTGAATTTGTTAAATCATACTTGGTAAATTATACTTCATACTATAAATGCGAAAGTTTAGATGGATGGATGTTTGTTAGAGTTTGTAGCCTAAACTGCTGAACGGATCTCAATGAAATTTGGCATACAGGTAGAGGATAGTCTAGAAGAACACATAGGCTACTTGGTTTTGGTTTTTTTAATACCACGCGGACGGAGTCGCTGGCGAAAGCTAGTTTTAAATAATTCAACTTCTACGTTTACACAAAACGGATTTTACTTCTACGGAAAAGAAAATAAAAATAATATTTAGATTGAATTTATTGTTTGGTAAATTAATAATAACGTGCATAACTTTAATATGTCATTGACCAAGGTGGCATCGATCTGGATTTGCCAAATTAGGAAAAGATTCAAGCGTTCCTCGATTACATATGAAGAAAAAAACAAAGTATCTTTTTTTGAGATTTCATACACATTTTACAGATATTTTATAACAGAAATAAAAATATATCTCATGGTACCTTATACATTGTACTCAGAAATCTGAACATGTGGTTTATACTTTGTATAATATTGAGCTATTTTGGGCACTATAACTTTACTAGTAAGGATGGTAATTCCTAATCAAGTTTAGTGCAGCGGAAACTATTAGCAATGGTAGCGCCCAGAGTACGATGATTCAGCGAACATATACTAAATCGGGAAGCGAATAAAATATTTTAAACATAACCTAAGAGTCATTCCCACAA